AATTTTAATAATTTATTTCTTTCAACTAGTTTTATGCAAACTCTAATTTAAATAATTGAATTCCTGAGAAATTTTTATTATTCATGAAAAGAATTGAATTCTTACGAAGATTTTTACAAAAATTTTTTTAAATAATTGAATTCTGTTGAAAAAATTTTATGAAAATAGTAGATATTGGAAATCATTATTAAATAGCGAAAGGTTTGAAAAATAATTAAATTTTACAAAGAATTCTTTTAAAATTTTTGACAAAATAATTGAATATCTGTGTGGAATTTTATTAGATTTTTTTTAAAAATAATTGATTTCCTAAAAAGCATTTTATTATTTATGAAAACTAATTGAATTTGCTAACTAATTGAATTCTTGTGAACTTTATTAGAATTTTTCAAAATAATGGACTTTCCAAGAAGAACTTTATTAATTTTAAAAATAATTGAATTCTTTTGATGAATATTGTTATTTTTTGAATGTAATTAAATTTTGCAAAGAATTATCGACATAAATGAATTCTTTCGAAAATTTATTGATGTAAATAATTCAATTCTTGTGAAGAAGTTTAGTACAATCTAAAAGAATAATTGCTTTATTTTAAAAAAATTTAATTAAAATATTGTATTTAAAATAAATGATTTCTTTCCAACAATTTTATTAAAATATTTGAAAATAATTTAATTCCTGTGAAAAATTATAATATTTTTCTAAATAATTGAATTCTTCCAAAGAATTTTAAAAAAACATTTTTTTAAATAATTGATTTTTTCGAGAAATAGAAAATTAAATTTTGAAGAATAATTACAGTTTTCGAGCAATTCCTGCAAAATTGTATTAAAAATAATTGAAATCCTGCGATGAATTTTATTATATTTGTGAAAATAATTGAATAGTTGCAAAACGAATTTTATTAAAATTTTCAAAAATAATTAAATTCCGGAGAAGAATTTTATTATTTAAAAAAATAATTGAATTATTGTAAAAAATGTTATTAAAATGTTTAAAAAAGAATTGAATTTTTGTGAAAAATTTTATTACTTTTGAAAATAATTGAATTCTTTATAAAAATTTTAAAAACATTGTTTTAAATAATTGAAGTTTTCGAAATTTAATAAAAAATATGAAAATTTTATTTTAAATAATTGAATTTTTGTGGAAAATTTTATTTGTTAAAATAATTGAATTTTTCGATGAGTTTTATTATTTATGAAAATAATTGAATTCTTGCTTAGAATTTTATCAAAAAATTATTTTTAAATAATTGAATTTCCATGAAAAATATTATTATTAGTGAAAATAATCGAATTATTGTGAAGAATTGTGTAAAAATTTTGTTAAATAATTGATTTTTTCGAAATTTTTTTGGAAAATGCTATTCTAAATTAATTGATGAAAATATATAGAAGCAAAGTAGTCGTCTGCAAAACGATCGAGGGAGGCATTAGTTCGAACAAAATCAGCAACCGAAAAAATTTGAAGTTCATTCAAATATAAAAGAAAATTACCAAAAGAAGGCTAACTGTAAATTTATAGACACATCAAGAAGGGGTGGATGTAAAAAAAAGTAGAATACAAGCAAGAAGAGAAGACACAATTTCTGACAGACGAACTTCCGGAGGAAGTATATAAATGCATTCTCCGCGTGACACACTCGCACTCTACCCCCAATATACATAAGTTCCACATTTCATCTTTAAATTTATACACATTACATGCATCTATAGAGGATTTACCCTCCAAGTCTTTATCTTGCGCGCTTCTTCTTTTAATAGCTAAGATAAATTTCTCTAACAAATAATTAAATATTATAATTATAAGTCACTATAAAAGTATAAATTAAATAACTACATTATAAATTATTAAATAAAGTAATTATGGTTATTAATAAACAAAAAAAATTAACTTTATACTTTTATTTTTTGTCATCTTTAAAAAGATTCCATATTATATTATTATGTTATAATTATTTTTATTTTATAATTATAATAATTATTTTATATTATAAGATTATTGTTACTGTAACTTCATCAAAATTATTTTCATTATTTTAATTCAATTATTATTTTCTACAATTTTAAATTATTTTTTATGAAAATAATAATTGAATTGCAGTCAAATTTTTATTATTTATGAAAATAATTAAATGTTTGCATACAATTTTTTAAAAAAAATTTCTTTTATTAGGCGAAATCTATTAGTTTAAATTTAAAGAGTAATTAATTAACTAACAATTAATTTGTTTCATTTAGTGTTATTACCACAGTGAAAACGGATTGAAATAAATAAAATTTCCCTAATCAACAGCAAGGCGTTAATGAAACTGTATCTGAGGGGGAAATGAAACCTTTTTCGGATTTCTAAAAGTGTTATGTTTTTCTTTGTGATGTGTGTGTGTTAAAGATGTGAAAAGAAATCACGTAAGCCTAAAAACGAAGAATACGAGAAGGGTGCTAGAAGTAATTGACTCTTTCTATATACCATAGGAAGGGCTCTCAGCTGTGATTCCTTCCTCGGGGGAATTACTAAAGCAACGTTTTATCGTTTTAACGTTTCTCGTCGTCCTGTTCCTGTCGGGAGTTCACGGCCTTCTTTGCCCCGCTTATAAATATAACTGAACGAGAACGAGAACGAGAACGAGAAAGCTATATATGTATATTTATGTATAAATGAGGGAAAAACTATGAGTCTTATCTATTTACGAATGTATATAAAAAACGACCTCACTTCCGGAAATCGAAAATCTGCAGTGGCATGCACGTGTCTTCTGTCAATCTCATTGTCAGCCGATTGAATCCTTTAACTTTCTAGGCGCACTTATCAATACAATAAATTTTACTTCAAATCAAAACCAAGTCAAAGATTGCAAACGACTAATTAAGTAACTTATAGCTTAAAACTAACTAACTAACTTAATTACTAACTTACTAACTAACTAACATACTAAGTCACTTACAAACTTAATTACTAATTAACTTACGAACTAACTTAATTACTAATTAACTTACTTAAATTAGTTACTAACTACTTACTAACTAACTTACTTAACTTAGTCACGAACTAACTTACTAACTTAATTACTAACTTACTAACTAACTAACATACTAAGTAACTTAATTACTAATTAACCTACTAACTTAATTACATAAATTACTAATTAACTTACTTAAATTAGTTACTAACTACTTACTAACTAACTTACTTAACTTAGTCACGAACTAACTTACTAACTTAATTACTAACTTACTAACTAACTAACATACTAAGTAACTTACTAACTTAATTACTAATTAACTTACTAACTTAATTACTTAAATTACTAATTAACTCACTAACTAACTAACCAACTAACTAACTTACTAACTTAGTTAACTTAGTCACGAACTAACTTTCTAATTTAGTTACTTACTACCTTACTAAGTCATTAGTAATGAAGTTTGTAAGTTAGTTAGCCAATTAGTAAGTTAGTTAGTAAATTAGTTAGTAAATTAGTTAGTAAGTAACATCCGATCCCTCAGATATCTTTAGATATTAAAGATTAAATCATTTACAAGTTTGAATTTCAATTTTCTAACCTCAAAAATTTGTCAAAATAACTTGTCAAACAACAGGGTTGCCACAGGTCAGGGAATTCAAAGAAAAATCAGGGAAAGTAGAATTGGTCAGGGAAGTCAGGGATTTTTATTAAAAGTACTGGAAGAATTTAAATTTTTAGAATTCATAAGAAAATTCTGAATTTTTGTGTTTTTTCTTTGTTTGCCTCATAAACAATGAAACTACCACGAAACCTTCAATTTTTTCTATTTCTGACAATAATTTCCAATTAAATAACTCTATTCCTAAATACATGAACTTTAAAAGGTATTAATTTGAAATTTTTAAAACTTAAATTTTTAAATAGTTTGTAAAATTTACCACTCGATAAATTTAAATAAAAGATAATATAAAATAACATTTTAAACTTAGATTTTTGAAGAATTGTAATATTTCCAATTCTTCTAAAATAAGTTAAATTTTTTAATATATATTTCTAATTAATTATTAAAGATAATGATTGCAAAAATTCAATTATATATGTTCAAAAATTTACAAACATTCTCGTCAAACTTTCAATTATCTTTATAAATAATAAAATTCTTCTCCGAAATTCAATTACTTTCAAAAAATTTTAATAGAATTCTTGGCAAAATTTTAATTATTTTCAAAAAATTTCTTCAATTCAATGATTTTCAATATCTACTATTTTAAAAAAAATTTTCTCAAAGAATTCAATTATTTCAAACAAATTTTGATAAATTTCTACGAAAACATTTAATTATTTTCATAAATAATTAAAATTCACAAAAATTCAATTATTTACAAATTTCTTATAAATTCCTTCGTAATAATTTCATTATTTTCATAAACTATATACAATTTTTTACAGAGATTTAATTATTTTCGTAAATAATAAAATTCTTTTTAGGAATTCAATTATTTTCATAAATACTTTTAACTAACAATTCTGCAGAAATAATTTTTTTTGAAAAAGTTTAACTGAATTTTTAAAAAAATTATTTCACGTTTTTATTTTCTAATATATAATTAATTGAAGAATTTACGAACAAACGAAATTCCGTGTAAAATTGAATTGTAAACAAATGGATTTGAAAAGTATTAAAAAACTTTTTCAAAAATTATTAAAAATAATTTATTTAAAGAAAAATTTTAGTAAAAAATTCTCAATATTAAATTTATTAAAATTTATCAATAAATATGATGGAATTTTTTTGTAAACACTAAAAAAATTATATTTTGGAGAAATTACAAATAATTGCATTTTTTTGAAAAATTATTGAAAATAATTTATTTAAAGTAGAATTTTATTTGGAAATTCTAGAAAATAATAATTGAATTGACATGATAAAAATAATTTTGAAGAAGTTACAGTTTCTATGAAAAAGAGCCTCTATATTAAGAATCAATTCTGTCCAAGTTAAGAATGATCAAAATAGCCTAACAGCACAGCTGGCCTGTTAGCTCAGATGGTTAGAGCGTCGTGCTAATAACGCGAAGGCCGCGGGTTCGATCCCCCCACAGGCCATTTTTTTCCTACAGCCAATAATTAATTCAAATTATATTTTTTTTCTTTTTTTTTATTCAAACATAATATGATATTGATCTTTTAATGATTTTTTAATTAATTAATTTTTAATATTAACATTTGATTGATAATAAAAATGAAGAATAGAATTAAAATAATCTTAATTTGTAACGTTTACCACCACATCTCTAATTGGAAGTGTACACAAAGCGAATTTTATTAACACATAAAAAGAGCCCCAATGGAGAGGAAACTAGTACTTCATGTACTGCAAGTTTGCAATTTACAATTTCATGTTTCATTATTATCATTTACTTCTGTAGAAAATTTAGTATAGAACAACTAATTTTTACAAACGAATATAACTTTTCAAAATTTTCATTTTTTTTGTTGTTTTTTTTTCAAAAAAATAGCTTTAGAAAAACAACCAATATCACGTTTTGAGCTTAAAACATTTGTTTTTAAGGGACAATTAAAGATTTTTGATTTACACTTACTGTATTGATAAAATATGACAAAATATTCGTCAACTACTTCCGGGGCGTATTAGCGAGTTTGTCCCGGACGCTATGATTAAAGATAAATGACCAAGTAAAATTTCTAATTTTTCTAGTCATGTTATTATAGAAATTCCGTCAAATGTTATTAAGAAATAAATTTATTTAAGTTTTCTGTATTTTAAAACATTAATCAAAATTTAACACCTTTTCATAAAAAATCGAGGAACACGTTTCTTAAATGTAACTACAATTGGGCTCACACTTTTTTTTACTTACAATTAGCTTTCTATTTCCACTTTTAAATGAAATGCAATAAATTATTGTAAGTCGATATATTTTCAAAACTAGAATTTTTTTTCTTTAAAGAAAAACTTGTTTCATAAGCGTGTATATTAGTAAGTTTAGGATTTTCCCTCAATGAAATATCGCACGTCAGTGGTTTTTCCCGCAAGTAACCGTAGTTTTTAGTAAACTAAAAGGTTATTTTCGCTTTAAGTACAATAATTAAAGAGGAAGCAGGTAAAAAGGTCTGCAAATCCCAAACCCCCTGCATAGAAGTGTAAATTCAATGAGTAAACCATTATAGGTATGAAAAAAAAATTTTTTTTTCTCTTAAAATTATTTACGGGATTCCCCTTTTTAAGTATATTTCACGCCCCAACTGACTACAAAACTTTATGACGAAATAAAATTAACTAAAACTATTATATAAAAAGTTTTTTAAAAAGCAACGATTTTTTTAAATTTAAAGTTCTGAGTCATTTAATTAAAATACTAATTAATCAATTTAGTAATTTAATTAATTATAATTAAGAATTTAATTAGTAACAAATTAATTTATTATACCCTTATAAGTTATAAATAAGATAGTAATTAAATAATTATAGGAAATAAATTAATTAGTAACTAATTAATTATAATGAATAACACATTACAAATGAATTAATTATACCAAATGAATTAATTAGTAATCAATGTATTATAATAAATGAATTAGTAATTAATTATAAGAAATAAATGAATTAATAATTAATTAAAAATTTTAATAAATGATTTATTTAGTAATTAGGTACCTAATAAATTTTGAATATTTTATCTTAATTTATGGAATTAAACAGTTTCAAATATAGATTTTGAATAATTCAAAAAACATTTTGGAAATTATATTTTCAAAGAAATACTCCAAACTGGAATTTTCAAATATATACATAGACTCTCCCTTCAAACGTATAGTCACATCAAAAATAAAAATGTGTATGTCACGAATCGGAGTTTTTTTTTGTTTCAAAATTTTAGGGATGATTTTCCCCTTTTATATTTTTAGAATAACCGTTTTTCCAATGTTATCATACTCCCTTTTTTCATTAATTTTTCTGTTCATGTAACAATTCCTCCATCACAAAATAAATTTCGTAGCATTTGATAAATTAATTCTAAATTAAAGTAAATGTAATTTACTTACAGTAAATATAATTTTAGTTGGTTCAAATAAAATTTTTATTTAAAACAATTTTTATTTAATTTTATTTAATTAACAATTTTTTTTTATTTAAAACAATTATTATTTTGTATTATAAAAATATTCTAATTCTTCAAAATTATTTTCATCATTTCAATTATTTTTCAGAATTTTTAACTAAAATTCTTCTTTAAATCAATTAATTTTCGAAAAAGTTCTTTAAGAATTTTCAAATTCATTTGTTTACAATACTCAATTTTACGAAATTTCAATTATTCGTAAATTCTTCAATTAAATATATCTTAGAAAATAAAAACTTCAAATAATATAAAAAAAATTCAAATTAAACTTTTTCAAAAAAATTAAATTCAAAATTCACTTATTTCTAAAAATTCAAGCTATGTTGCTTTTAATATTCAATTATTATCTGAAATTTTAACTGAAATTAATTTTTTTAATAAATTTTTATTAGAAACTTCAACGAGAATTCGATTATTTAAATACAAACATAAATAATTTATTGAATAATTGAATGTTTCTTAAAATTAAATTCTCAAAAAGAATTTTATCAACAAATTTTTAATTGAATTCTTTTGACGAAATTAAATAAAATTTAATTTTTTAAGAATAATTACATTTTTTGAGGAATTTGATTAAAACTGAATTAAAAATAATTGAAATTCTGCGATAAGTTTTACTATAGTAAAACTTATCGCTTCTAGGAAATCGCTTCTAGGAATTCAATTATTTTCATAAATATATTTATGAAAATAATTGAATTCCTATAGAAAGAATTTTATTATTTAAGAAAATAATTGAATTTCTGTGAAATTTTTATTAATATTTTGTTCAAATAATTGAATTCCTTTGGAAAATTTTATTAAAATCGTAGATAATAAAAATCATTGAATTGAGGAAAATTTTTGAAAATAATTCAAATTTTGCCAAGAAATTCATTAAATTTTTTTCAAGAATAATTGACTTTTATAGAAGAATTTTACTATTTATAAAGATATTTGAAATTTTGACCAAAATTTTTTAAAACTTTTTGAACATAATTAATTTTTTAATCAATTTTTATTAGAAAATTCTACGATAATTCAATTATTTAAATATAAAAATAAATAATTTATAAAATAATAATTGAATGTTTTTTAAAATTATTGAATTCTAATAAAGAATTTTATCAACAAATTTTTAAATAATTGAATTCTTTTGACGAATTTTAATAAAAAATTTTAAGAATAATTACATTTTTCGAGAAATTCGATTAAAATTGAAATTCTGCGATGAGTTTTATTTTCTATGAAAATAATTGAATTCCTAGAAACAATTTTATTTTTTAAGAAAATAATTGAATCTCTGTAAAAAATTGTACAGTTTATAAAAATAATTAAATTCTTTTGGAAAATTTTTGAAAATAATTCAAATTTTGCCACGAAATTAATTATATTTTTTGCAAAAATAATTGAATTTTAGAGAAGAATTTTATTATTTATAAAGATAATTGAAATTTTGACCAAAATTTTTTAAAACTTTTTGAACATAATTGATTTTTTTAATCAATTTTTATATAGAAAATTCTACGAGAATTCAATTATTTAAATACAAAAATAATTTATGAAATAATTGAATGTTTTTTAAAATTGAATTCTAATATAGAATTTTATCAACAAATTTTTAAATAATTAAATTCTTTTGACGAATTTTAATAAAAGTTTTTAAGAATAATTACATATTTTTCGAGAAATTCGATTAAAATTGAAATTCTGCGATGACTTTTATTTTTTATGAAAATAACTGAATTTCTAAAAAGAATTTTATTATTTACGAAAATAATTGAATCCCTGTAAAAATTTTATTTTTTATAGGAAAATAATTGAATGATTGTGAAGAAATTTATAAAAAATTTGTAAATAATTGAATTCCTGTAAAATTTTTATTATTTTATGAAAATAATTAAAGGTTTGCGTAGAATTTTATTAAATTTTTTTTTTTTAAATTGAATTCTTTTGGAAAATTTTATTAAAATACCTAGTAGATATTAAAAATCATTGAATTCAGGAAAATTTTTTGAAAATAATTGAAATTTTGCTAAGAATTTTATTTGAAATTTTGGAAAATAATGGAATTTCGGAGAAGAATTTTATTATTTCTAAAAACAATTAAAATTTTGAAGAGAATTTTTTTAAATTTCTGAACATAATTGAATTTCTGCAATCATTTGTAATTTCTCTAAATGTCTCCAAATTATATCGTACAATAATTTATGAACTCTTTATCCCTTTTCAATAAAAATTACGGACTTTACGGACCTTTGTTCTAAAAAACTGACTTTTACGAACTTGAAGCAAATTTACAGACCTTTACAGGATTTACGGACCTAGTTCGAGCTCTGTAACTAAAATAAATTATTTATATATTGAAGTTAACGATCACTCCGAGTCAAGCCAATGGATAAAAATTAATTTGAAAACCGAGTGACAGAATCACTATTATATTATCAAATAAATTATATTTGGTTTAAATACAAATTGTTATCTGGATGTAATACCCAGATTTTCGAATTTTTTTTCGTTTTAAGAAAGAAAGAGAATAGTTAACTGAAATTAAAAATAAAATTTTTTTTTATTTCTCATAATAGTTGTCAAGTGCTATCAAGTGTCAAAAAATAATTTCCCTGAAAAAAGAAAAAATAAATAATGTAGCTGCATTTATGAACCAAGTATTATGTGGATGTGGTATAGAACTACAAAACTGCAGCTTTTCAAATATAAATTTCCCCTCATCTAATCTTATAAAATAAACAAGAATTTAAAAAGAAGATGCCGAATTTTTGATGATCTCGCGCGCATAAGCACGCATAAGTGAGAAATGGCGCCTTTTTTTGGCGCACATGTGCTCGAGACGTCACCTCGAAGGACAACCGAAGAGTTTCAGCGATTGGCTGAGTGTTTTCTTTTCGGGTCAATCCGGAATTGTACGACAGTGTATACGGTGTGGCACGAGCCAAAAGCAAGTAAGTCTTCTGAGGGGTTGGG